CTGCTCTTCCTCGGGGACGAAGGCCGTGAGGACGGTCGCGAGGACGCCGTCTCTCTGTCGAGGGAGCGCGTCGGCGTGGCGCGGGCCGAGCTGGGCGCCGGGCTGGCGCGGAGGGCGCTCGCGAAGTACTGGTGGGTAGGGCTGAGGTCCTCGCTGATGCGCTTGCTGTTGTACGACTGCTGGTACGTCGTCACATACTGGTCCGCGTCAACCTCGCGGGGACGAGGTCGCTGCTGCGGCTGTTGCTGCTCGCGCTCCCGTTTAGTTGTCGTCGTGGTCGTCGTGATGACGGTACTAGACGGCTCCGTGGTCGTTTGTTGCTTGCTGCTGCTTACCTCGGCGGCTCGTTTCTCGTTTTCGAGTCTCGTTGTGGTCGTTCGCTGTTGTTCGATGACCGTCGTCGACTGACGTCGGTCGGAGTCCTCGGTGGCTGGTGTGGAGGTGGGGACAGGGGTGGGAATTGACTTTGCCTGCCTTGTTGCATCCAGGTCGTTGGATGTCGTTGAGTTTGTCGTTGACTTCGAGGTGGAGGTCACTCTCCTGCTCTCCTGCTTGGAGGTGGCAGAGGTGCCTGATGCGGTGGCTGAGCTGCTGCTTTCAAAGACAAACTCGCTCTTAGTCTGCTGCGGCATCACGGGCGCCTCGGAACACACGCTGCGAGGGCTCACGGGGGTGTTTGTGGAGCCCGTGGCGTTGTGTGTTGACAGGTACGAATCCAGCTTGCTGATCTCCGTCATGATGCGCTGGTCCACCCCGCTCTGCTGCTGCTGTTCGCTGCGGGTGCTCGTCGTGGTCGACGTAGACTTCAGCGCGGCCTCTCCAACGCTGCCCCTCTTATCCGCCGACGCGATGCTGCTGATCTCCGTGATGGTGACGCCGGGCTGGTCGCTGGAGGCCGTTGCGCTGGACGTGGCGGAGGACTTGGCCGTGGTGACCGTGCGCGAGCTCGCCGTCGATGAGCTGACGGCGCGCTGGGTGGCGACCTGTTGGCTCGCGCTGGTGCTCGAGCTGGACGCCTTGTACGTGGCGGACTTCCTTCGCGTGATGCTGCCGTCCGGGTTGTGGATGACGGTTTCGCCCGCGTCCACCAGCTGCAGGCCCTGGGGGACGAGACCGTCCTTGCCCTGAGTCGTGCCGCTCTGCTCGCTGCGGCTACTGGTAGACACCACGCCCAGGTTGTTGGCCGAGTCGTACGCCGAGGACGAAGACTCGCGGACTACTTTCCAGTTGCCCGTGGTCTCGGACGCGCCGCCGGTCGAGGAAGTCAACGCGTGGCTCGAGAAGTCCTGGTGCTGTTGCTGGCGCTTGTGCAGGTCGCGTGTAGGCGACTCCGAGTCGCGGATCTCCTTGGACTTGAGGGACATGAAGCCGCCGCCCTGGCCGTGGATGGACTCGGCGTGCGAGCCGTGCGTGCGCACCTCGCCGCTGTCGGTCATGGAGGAGACGGACGTGGCTGTCTTCTTGGTGATGATTTGCTGGGCGTCCCCTACGGTCTGCAGGTCGCGCAGCACTTCCCCCGTAGTGTAGAAGTCCTTGAGACGCTGCTCGCGCAGTTTGTACATCCTGGCGCGGATCTCCTTCTTCTGGCCGAAGTCCTCGGTCTGCTGCCACTGTAGGGGCGAGACAGAGCAATGATAACATTTTCCGCAAGGAAAACGGAACGTTTCTAACCCATTTACAAAACAACCAAAGCTTAATATCTTTGAAGATACTCACCATGCGCCGGAGAACGTCCTCGTCTTGGATCGAGCCCACGTCACTCGAGATGGTCTGCAGCTCCAGCCCACCCCCGGAGCCAGACGTCACCTCCGTTGTCATGGTGACTGCTTGGCCCCGCCACCTGCCGGACAAAACGTACACGCCCATTAGTGGAGGGAAAACATAAGCCGACGTGTATGACGTGACTGGTCAACTCCCATATGAGTGCGGCTGCACCGTTGTCAACGCTCGGCCTCCACTGTTCACAAGAGTGAAAACGTGCGGACAGTTTCATGCTCGCCGCGGCTAGAAGGGGATCGGCAGCGGCACAACGATTCTTTGCAGTTTTAATGTATTCCGGCGTGGAGGCGTTATTCGCAGGCAACTGCTCGGCTGGGCGTTATCGGCACGACAAGCGGCGGCGCGGTCACTTCAAAGCGTGTCCGCCGACATCAAACACGGCCCGACCGCGACGAGCGAGTGCAACCAAGTGCCGACAAGTGCTCGGCCACGCCCCGGCACGGCTCGGGCACACGGCACACCGGCACTGCCGGCCCGGCGGGGGGGAAGGCCATTACCCGCGCCACGGCACCTGCGGGGGCGGCTGCCTGATCGGCTACCAAAAAACGTCACAGCCAAACTGATCGCCCCAAAGAAGGAATACCGTAACTTCACCTACGAAACGCTATTTGAAAATGATAAATTGCTTAATGAATGTTGCAGTCAAGCGTGTGGTATTCCACGTTGTCGAAGATGAGGTAAGTTTTTCTATCCCCGTCTCAGGACCGGTTGGGTTCTGTCGCCGCGTCGTCGCGCAGCGCGCCCAGGGAGGCAAGGCTAGGCCGCGCGACGCCGGGCGTGCCTGTTGGGCTGCCTGCCCGCACGGCGATGCCCAGACGCTTACAAGCGGTCGTGAACACAACGCGTCCCCGGCATCGGCCGGGGGCAGAAAATTCATATGTCTTTTCTGTCGTACGATTTTTATTTATTTTTACCCTGGCACCAGCGGTGGCGGCGGCTCTTTCGGGCTTCCCATTAAATTGCAGATCTCGTAATCCCCTCGCGGTGTCCCTCCCGCCCGCCGGCCCGCCGGTCCGAATGGTCGTGGGCGCGTCCTGAGGACACTGCGCGCACGCTGGCCCTGGTCCCGGACCAGGAGTTCGCTCCAGGCGCCGATGTCATTCGCTCATTGGCCGCCATTAATATGCAGATCCGATCACAAAGGCAGCAAAAAGCGCGGCCCGCGTGGTGGGACGAAATCACATATTTTTAGGCGGCGCGGCGCAGCGTGTCACGGGCTGCCAAGAAACGTGTCCGCGTCGTGGCGGAGACGAGCGCTCCTAATACGTCCAGCTCAGGGGGCGTGATCGCACAAGCTTTGGAAAACTCGCGGAAAAACTCGAATCAGAGTCTAACTTCGCAATTAAGCGAAATAGACGAGTGAGCACACCGAGTTTCCCCACAGGCATCCCCATCATTGCGCAACCGTGCGCAACACTCATACTCAGTAAATCATCTCACCAGTCATAATAATTGTTAACTGGTCAGCGGCACAACAATTTGCTTGGTCTCTTGCATGCGAGCAGTCTGTCGCGGAGGTCCCTGACATTGAGATCAGAGCTGGGCTGGGTCGGGCCGGGTCGGCTCCGCGGCCGCCGGTTCCCGGTTCGCCAACACACATCCCGCCCACCACCACGCCTGGTCCGGTCACCGCTCACCACCAAAAGACAAACGGAAATACTGTTTCATCTCTTTGACAAAGTCCGCGACCACCTTTGTTCCTCTTTGAGAGTGCCCCCCCCCCCCCTCCTACCCTCTCCCGACTCTCTCACTTTTCGTTTACTCTCTCTCCCGCACAAGGTGATGAATCTCATATATCGAACGCAGATTGATTCGATGATTCGATTTGCCGCCCGTCAATTCGTCATCTTGCAGCGCGCAGGCGCAGCCCCGTCCCACAGCCGCTTGCAGGGGCATTATAAATGAATAAGGCAATCTCCAGAAAACAAACAGTCGGTCGTGATTTAATTTGAGAGGAGGGCGGCCACAGGCGGTTGAGGCAACGTCTCGTAATTTGCTTGACCAGAACTTCAAATCTAACTTTGTCGCACTCTTTGTGAGCGTGCCGCGTAACAATCCACAATCTCAGACATTTACATAACCACCTTCTACACTGGACGGGCACCTAGAATTTGACCCGAACTGGATTCAAAGAAGAACAGCGGTGCCTC